TGAATTTCTTCGCAGATATGTGCAGCATCACGACATTTTCCGTGGTCGTAAGAACGTCGGATAAAATACACATTACGGTATTCGACCTGCAGATTGCAAGTCAAGTGCTTAACCGTTGAGACACTGATGCTCGAATACAAAAAATGCCTCAGATGAATTAAAACACAATATGATATCACATAAACCATTTTATTCTCAGTTACACATTTTAATATACAGAAATCTTCGACTTAGTTAAACGGTGGATAATAATTGCTTACAAGTTCATTGAAAGTTTCAAATTGAGCAAATGCAAGCAGATCAATTTTACTAAACTTCGCTACTGGCAACACTGTTGTATAATGTCACACATAATGTTACCATAACATAGAACATATCAACAGATACATTAATGCAATATAAACAAAATTTTAAATCTGCAGATAATAAATACTAAATTTTCTATTTAAGTGTTACCAGTAGCGAAATCAAATATAAAAAATTCGTAAGCCCTGCGCACCGGTATTTAAAAGCTAAACGTCAAACACTGGGAGAGATGTTTAAAAAAATAAATTCTAGCCATAGTAAATCAACATATTTCGATGAATTTTCGACTCTATTTACATGTACGCAGAGATCATATCGGAACGCAATAATACTATGGCAAATATTCTATTGAGATGCAATAACGAGGTAACTCTATAAATTATTTATATAATGCCATTCCTTTCATATCACACGGTTTTTGTATTTTTCTTATAAATGTTATTTAAACACTGTTAACTAGGCTATGCCTTATATCTAACGGTTAAAAATTTGCTACGAACAATGAGTTTCAAATAAGAATGACAGAAGTCGCATACATCCTTATTTCAAACTTACTCCAACCCCATACAATCTTAATATTGTTAGTTAATATTAACCTTAAGTACAGTAATAAATTAATAAAAATGAGTTTTCCAGGGTTTGCCAACATTTGAAATATTAAATTAATTTTGGTACTGTTTATTCATGTTGGCAACACTGTTTCGAATGCGCATGGCGGGAACTATTAGTCTATGATTAGACAGCGGGATTACACAAAATGCATTCGCTTCGAAGCGTTTCCATAGCGAACTTCAAAGTTGCATGCTGACGTGCGACAATCACGTGACTTATCGAAAGTTACTGTCATTCTGTACATTTTTGAAGTTCGTTATAGAATCGCTTCCTAGCGAATGCACATTATCTAACCAACCAGTAATATCAGAGCTGTCGCCGGGGAGCTATGTCAGTAGCGCCCTACCGCCATATCTTTTACTCTTTACGATTTCTTAGCCTTGAAAATTACCACGAACGTGTCTTTAATATTTAAACAATCATTTGGTAACTAATAATTTAAACATATTGAAATAAAGAAAAAAAATCATGCGGTGTGAAATTTAAAAATCATTCAAGGACAGATTTATAATTCTCCATTAGTTAATAACAATCAAGTGAATAAAAAAATCGATATTAATTTTTTGCAACGCCTCGTTTAATTCGCATGTCATTATTTTTTTTAAATACAAAATATTTAAATCAGATCGCGTCAATTAAAAATAAATGTCAATTTTACTCAGTGTTAAAATATTTGACATTTATGTAAGGCTCTTTGATAAAACTAAGAAAATATGGATTATGATCAGTGGAAACGCACGATTAGAGAAAAAACTCTTCTATGCTCCAAGTTTACTATTAATTTACACAACGATAACAATTTAATTAAATTACTCCTAGATTAAGTTAAAAAAGAATTCACATAAATATCCTAATTTTAATACTAAAAGTTCGATACATTCAATAAATATCGTTTTTTTTTTGTTTAAGAGTTTTATTACAATTTACTTTTTAAAATTTAAAATAAATAATGTAATTTAAAATTAAAATTAGCAGATTTTTTTTCCTTGAAAAATGCACAAATGTTAGACAAATTAGTATTTAAGAGCACAAAAGATGCAATTTTTTTGACATTTTTATTTTTTAAATACAATAATGACATCAAATGGTTAAATAATTATTTACAAAAATGGAATGGTATTAAATTACGTGCTGAAGAAGAGAAAAACAATTTTGTTTAAAAAAAAATTAGGAAAATAGCTTTTTAGTCCATTCAATTCTTTGTAGATTTGTAAATTTATTTTGAGCATAAAACTTTAAAATTGTAAATCAATTAATGAAAAAAAAAGTTTTAAAAGTTCAAAAATTTCTATACACACGAGACTCAAATTAATAGAATTTTTCATAAACATTAGAGAAATATTTTCAAACGTCTTATCGAAAAAACTCTCGTAGCAGCAACTAGAGATAATTTAATTATTTTAATTACAATTACAACACATGCACACCAAACTGATATCTGCGCCTTATGACGTCACTGCGACGTCTCATTTTCTTGTACCGCACATAACCCTTATCCTAGTACGTGTCAAATTTAAGCTAAATTTAAATATTGAATCTTGGATACTTGAACCGTATTATAAACACCCTGTATTTATTCTATTGATTAGTAAGAAAAAAAAATAGTCCCACATATAATTGAGTAAAAATCACGTTAAACAATAGTCACATTAGGGCAGTGATCGTTCGGAACATTAATAAATTTAGCTAAAAACCATGGAATGTTCCAACACCGAATCTTAAAACCTAATATTTACACTCTCTAAATGGAGATATGAGCCATCTGTCAAAAGCTAATTCTCCAAACAAGATACATACTGTATGTAATTGATAACGAAACGAAACTAAACGAGTCTTGTCGTCTCGCTCGCACGCTATGGCGGTTGTATGCGTGCGAGTGAGAGAGTGTCTCGTTAAATTTAGTTGCATTACCAGCTTTGACAGGGGTCGGCAACCTATAGCTCTTGAGATATTTTTTAAATATAAATATTTTAATAATTAAATAATTAACACTAGCATTTTTTAATGAAACAAAATGTCGAAAACCTATACTAATATGGATTTCGTTTTATGTATAAAAAGTAATAAATTTAATTTAATACATAAATTGACTTTTTAAATCCAAAATAACAAAAAGGTTGCCGACTCCTGAACTAATCTGTTTTTAACACTTTGGACGGCTTTGGAAAGAAGTTTTTAATTGTTTTTCTAGATAACTTACATTCGAAGATAATGTACATAATAAATTATTTTATTTTATAATTTGTGATGAATAAAGAAACAAGATAAGACAGTCATCATCATCATCATTAGCTCACTATACGTTCGCACCGAGGGGCTCGGAGCCTACCCTAAGTTTAGGGTGATTAGGCCATAGTCAACCACGCTGGCCAAGTGCGGGTTAGTTGCCTTCACACATATCTTTGAATTTCTTCTCACATATGTGCAGGTTGCATCGCGACGTTTTCCTTCACCGCTAGATGGTCGGATAAATGTACATATGTAAAGCGAAAAACACATTGGTACATGGCGGGATTCGAATCCAGGACCTGCAGATTGCAAGTTAAGTGCTTGACCCCTGAGCCACCAACGCTCTCAGATAAGATAGTAACCGTGGGCATTTTTGTCTCTGTTATACTCTATGACAACAGTTGAGATAGCTGATTAAGTCAGTGAATACTCGTGATAATAATTTCTACATAAATTTGGTTACTCTATGAATATAGAAAATTAAAAATAATTATTTTGTCTATTGTTTTGCAAGGAACTGTATCACCTGTTTGATTTCTAAATTTGTTGAGGTGTAGACAATTTAAAAATTATTGACATAAATATGGCACCACCTCTCTTGTCTCTACATAAATCCCCACTATTTAGGGATATCTAAATTAATATTATAAAGAGGAAAGATTTGATTGTATTGAATAGGCTCAGAAACTTTCCGTCGTATAGACACTATGTTTATATTTTTTAGTATACGTTGGCAAAAGAGCTACCTAATTTCGCTAAAATAGCGAAGTCACCTCTGTCCATAGATACCCCCAACAGGTTGTTGATGGATCTACCTACACTTAATAGAGGTAGTATAAGGTGACAAAAAGGCTACCTAATTTCGCTAAAATAGCGAAGTCACCTCTGTCCATAGATACCCCCAACAAGTTGTTGATGGATCTACCTACACTTGATAGAGGTAGTATAAGGTGACAAAAGAGCTACCTAATTTCGCTAAAATAGCGAAGTCACCTTTGACCATATCTCCAAACGTTGTCGAAACCTACATAACAGACAGAGGTGGAGACATACAGAAATACAAACTGAAAATTACATTTCAAAATCAATTTTTATATATATTACAAAACAGTTTTAAACTGAAACAAGTCAATGAAATAAATATTCGGTTAATCTTAAACTTAAATTTAATGTCAAACGACGTATTCTAATTTGAACTTTTGACAGACGGCAGTAAGAGGTAAAATCGCTTGCACTTTGGTTCATTTCCTAGCGTATTGCAAATAC